TTTCTACGGCCAATAATAAGTTTACGTTTGACATATGATATGAAGAGTATGAAGGACTTATATGAGAATATTTATAACAAATCATGGAGCTAAAATCATATAAAATGACAGTTGCATCTTCAAGTATCATTGTCAAAAAAAAGTCTATATTATATTTACTAGAACATTTTTCGCAGGAAGTCATTAACGCAAAACAAAATCCTGCGCTATAAAATCATCTTAAAACATTAAGTTGAAAGATAAGTTATGGTAAAGCAGCATTCTACACATATTAATGATGTCAAAATTTATATTAGCAGACGTTCTTATAGAAATTGAAATAATAAAACTAGGGTTTAGAGCAACAATTTGGATTTTTCGCCTTGTACATAATTTGATTGTTCCCTTAAGGTATCTTGCAACATTGTCCGTAAATGATTTCAAACGTCAAAAATCGTCGAAAAACGCCGAAAAACGTCAAAAATGGCAAAGAAACATCGAAAAACAACGAAAGGTGTATGCTTCTAAAAGTAGAAATCACATCAGCGTCGTTCGTTTTCGTTCATTATCATATCGTAGTTACCATTGTTTGGATATTTATAACAAAGATATATCTGTAGATGAGCAGTAGATATATTCAGGTGAAAAGGTTTAGGAAATTTAATAAGCAGTTGATACAGAACGATATCGTTTCCTTTTCGACTCTAAAGCATGAGCTCTATAAATTCTATTATATTTTAAAAAATAGTATGCAGGAATAATAACTATAAAACGGTATATTAATTATATTAAGAAAGTTAATGCCTTACGTTACTTAAAAAAAGCGTAAAGACGTTAAATCTGGTTAATAATACGTTAATGACAAACGAAAACCAAGATAAAATACGAAGACCTCTCTACCTACCTTACAAAAGTATAGGCCTAAATCCATATCTTTATTGCTATTGGACCGATTCAAATGGAACAAACGGCTCTTGTGTAGGAGGAACAACATAGATTAACGTTGAAGAGAAAAATTAGGCACAATAGCAATAATACCAAAAGTCCATATGGTAAATAAATACTTAACCAATGAACCTGACAATAATAAATCTTGATATAAAAAGCCGGCATACTATTTGACAACGGCAGGCATTTGATTGGACTCGAATTATCTTCTTAGTTCCTCGTTTGTTTATTTTATTCCGTAACTTAAACAACAATCAATGACTTAGGAAGGTACTAAGCAAATTTTTTTTTGTTACCACTGTCATCTGTATGTCATTTAGTGTTAAATACCGCTTATCTTTATTAGTATTCATCATATATGTACTAAATTTAAACTGGTATTACGTCATTCATTGTATCTTTTTGGAATTTTTTGGAATTATGACTCATATTCTCGCGAATTCTGAAGTAGAGAACATGGTATAGATTAACGTTGAATAGAAAAATTCTGTACAGTAGTAATGCCATCTCGAATATTATTTGGTTGGATTTAAATGGGGGAAAACGAGGAAGTGGGAGAAATTACCGATGAAGAGAAAAAATACGCGCAGTGACATGCACCTATTATTAATTATATTTTTTATTCATTATAGAGATGTCAAGCGAAGAAAAAAGACGTAGAATTGAAGAGTTTGGCGTAGAAGTTAGGAAACTTAGTAGATACCTAAAATTATATAAAGATAAAAAACAAGTTTTAAGAGATTTGACAAATTTAAGTCTTTGGGAGGATATTAAGAGATATCATCCTAGACCACTTAGAAGAATCCAATCGACGCAAATATGGCCATATTAAAGGCTAATTTCATTATACTTACTGCCATATTAAACAATATACTGTATACCAATGTACCGAATGGCGTACAGCAAATGGCGATACGTTTTGACAATCAAACAGAATGGAGAAAGATGAATTTCTTGGTGGTTAATAATATGAAGCTAAATACGTTTTCCATAGCAATCGATGAAGCAAGGAGATACAAATTAAAATTGATTTTTAATAATGCGACTGAAGGAGAATGCAAATATTGGCAAGCTGTTACGACTTCACCACCACCGATCGATTTGAGTAACATGTCAGAGCCTGAATGTTCTAAATTATATATAGTTAGTTATATAGCACTATCATCTACTTTGTTTATAATATTGAAAATTATTGTAAAAATTATAAATAAAAAAATTTACTCTTCTTGTAAAACAAAAAAATGTTTGAAATTAATAAAGTGTTTTAATTAAAAAAACATTTCCTTTTATAATCATTTATTAATAACAAAAAATTACAACCGTAAAACAGTATTAAGGAACCCATTGGCGTAGACATTCGATGTTCTTCTGGGTACATTTAAATGATTCATTGGCGTGGTACATGTAGGTTTTGGAATCACTAATGAATTTTTTTGTTGCACGCGGTGTTCCATCGAACTTGCATACATCTACTATTATAGGAAATATTCCAAACACGTGACACTTTTTTATTAAAAATTCAGCTTTTTCACTTCCTCGTACGTAGATATAATTAGCATGGTTTAATAGGTATGTTTCCAAAATCGAGTTTAACTTGGAATAATTCACGTCTTCACAGGAATAGTTGACTCCATGAATATGTTACTCAACATATCTAACGCTAATTTTATTAGACGTATTTAGCTTAGAATAAGGTGTAGGCGGTGTGAAAAAAACGTGGTATTCTTTATAACCAATTGCGATACTCAATTCCTTCGGATGAAAAATACCGTTGATGTAGAAACCTTGGATGTCAACGAATGTGATCCTCATGGTGACAAAAACGAGACTACTGTTTAACACGCCGTGTAGGAATATCATTTTTTAAAAAGTGCTTCATGTAGAGTGGAAGAGCAGTTGTATAAATTGAAGAAAATCAAGTTTGACATCCTCAGTTGTTTGCAGTCAATCTGTAAAAATGCATTCTTAAGATTCTGGTTTCGGTTCAAGGAGTGAGTTTGATTTTACGTTACAACCACCCTCATCCACACCATCATCGGTGGTGTCTGAAAATTACGGTCGTAAACTAGATTCTCTATTAGAGTAGTATGAAGAAGCAGCCAAGAACGAAGTTCATTACCTACTCCACACGCAATTCCTACAAGGTTCCTATCAAATTGGGTGTTGTCTTAGTCCAGCAAGATCGTTTACTCCCACTGTTGTTATACAAAAAGGGCAGTGGGAAAAATATCGTTTAGTTCCAATGAGTGGGAGCAATTGATAACCCTACTTCAAGACAACAATTTTTTTAACGAGGTTGTGGATCTTCCTGATGAGAACGACGGTGTTGAGTTTCAGTGTGGTGATTACTGCAAAGTTCGACAAGTGATCTTCGAAGATGCAAAGCTTATTATCGTAAGCAAACACGATATAGACTTTTGGTTAACACAACAAGATGTTATGGAACTTGTGGATTTAAATAGGCAACTGTTAGCATCATATGTGTTAATGCTAGAGACTGTTGAATTTCCACAATATTACTATAAAATTCTAAATATAATTAGAAGTAGTCTTAATGATGAGAAATATACATTTTCAGATGCCTTTCATAAAATGCATGTATTTAAAAATTTGGATTCTAATTTGAAAAATTTTGCATTAGGACAATTCATGTATTTTTATAACCAAAAAATTGTAAACGATTTTGAAAGAATTTAATAAGTATGTTTTTGTGAAAAAATATTGTATTTTATTTATTTAAAAGAAAAAAAAATTAAAATAGTCGAAACGGTATAATAGCGATTTTGATTTTATTTTAAATCTTATAGTTATTTACCACAATTGTCAGCGCCTTACACCATTCGGCTATTTCCACTTCTGATAGCATAGAAACAAAGAATGTTTAAACGAGATGCTTGACACATGACGTTGACAATGTCATCAAACATCATAGTGCGTTCTGAAGCGTTTAAAAACATCGTTTTTTTCCGTTTTTCAACGTTTTTTTGATGTTTTCGACGTTTTTAGCGTTTTGCGTTCAACGTGTTAAAAACTACAATATTGTCGTTGATAGTATGTCATTGTTACTGTCAAACATTTACAACAGCCATTAGCTTTTGCCACAGCTATGGTCTTTGTTGGTATTATCGTCGCGAACGAAGGTTAGGTTAGAAGACTTACGAGCGATAAACGTTTACGTGAAAGAAGGTTTGGTTAGAGGATACATGAACAACATACATTCACTAGCTAAGTTGAATAATGCTTGTTCCATTCGAATCCGATTAATAATAATAGCAGATATTAGATTAGGAGGAAATACATGCGTTCTCGTGAACGATGGTTAAGTTAGAGTGTATACGAGTGACATGCGTTCTCGTGAACGATGATTAGGTTAGAGGGGCATACGAGAATTTCGTTGAAAAACGTAAAACTGTAAAACGTTTGACGTTTCGACTGACGTTTTCGTTTGACGTTTCGTTTGACGTTTTCATTTGTCGTTTTGTTTGACGTTTCATTTCTACCCAAGACTGCCCCTCAAAGGTATCGTTTCAAACGCAAAGTACTTCAACTAAAATAATTCCTGAAATTGTAACAGCCGGGTTGGTCGAGCGGTCTAAGGCATCTATCGTAAGCTCATCCACCAAATAATCAGTATTGAGATGTCTAGCGAAGCGAATTAAAAAGTTTGACGTAAAAGTTAGGGAACTAAATAAAGACATAAAATTAGCATTTAGGATGGTCATGGCTATACGATAAGCATTCACGTAAACGAAGGTTAGGTTAGGGTATGCACACTTTGAAATTCGGGCGCAAATTTACCTATCTTGATTTCAACAATATCGGAATTTGAATAAATACGGGTTTCGCTCTTTAAGTGTTTTTATCACTCAGCGCTTTGACCTTATATTCATCTAGCGAGCGAACATAGAGAAAATAATTTTAAGCAAAATACATTACGAAAGGAGGTTCATTTTGGATACGTAACGGCTCGGAAGTTTACTTAGGTTAGGTTTAAATTCCCGCCTTAATAAGGTTCCAAACTATATTTGATTATATTGCAATAAAATCCCAAAAAAATAAAAAATTAAAAACATGTTTTTTAAATATATTTATTTATTGATTTTCTTTAACCTTAATATGATTGGATCTTCAGTCTTTAATACAAAAGTAAGTGGGTCAAGCTCTAGTGGTTCTTTACAGTTTGGACTTACGGAGACTTCATAATTCTTAACTATTTCTGCTACACCCATCTTTGACTGCAAAATTCCTAGTCTTAATCCTGAAATACAAGAAAAAAGTAATTTATATCATCACTTGATAAGACAAAGAATTTATTTAAATAAAGTGATAATCCAACTACGTAGGTAGGCGGTGACAATTTAAGAACTTAATCTCATGAATTAAAGATGATATCAGATTTGAAAATTTCTGATGAAACTTTTGTCTAGGTCCTTTAAAGTGTTTTGGGTGGTTGACGATATAATATTATATTATTAGTAATTTTGGTAATTATGTCTGTGTCTGAATAAATTTTAAGTGATAGCCGACATTGGTTTTTTATTGTTAATGGGCGTTTGATCCGTTGTAATAAAAAAAAATATTATACAGAAAGACCGAGGATAACGTTAGATTTTTGCAGTTAGCTGAGGGAATATTGGGATATTTAAAATACATTGCTAAGAAAACTTCATTAAGAGGGCATAAGTAGTTTCAGTTCAATAATGGTTCTAAAATGGACGAATAAGTTGAGTAGACGTTTATTTGTCTAGCTGTAGCATATCCAAATCTCTATCTAATGCCATATAATATTGTTACTCATCTTCCTACAGTGTGCTGCGGTCGTGATAAGTAAAGGTGCGAGTAAAAGAAGAAGGAAGAATTTTTGAGAAATATCTAGAAATATCAAGAAACATCTGGACATTTCGGGAACATTCTAGAAGGTTAAAGCGAGATATAGAAGTCGGTGATTCTAACGTCAGAAGTCAGTTTTGTGATGGACGTTATACGTTAATATTATCAGTTGCATAGTTGTATTGTAAAAGTTGAGTTGAAATAGAGATACCAAAAACCAGCGTAACAATATTATCATTAGTAAAGTAGTAATTGCGGTCATGACATTTGTGTTAGAGAAATTTTTTGTAATACTTGCAGAAGGACCTAGATTCTAAGAATTTTTACTTTCCTATCTGTATACAGATATAAGGAAAGTATAGGAATCATGATTTTTTTCGACCTCGAGTTTTCGACGGATTTTTACGTTTTGAGGTGTGTGTGTGTGTGTGTGTGTGTGTGTGTGTGTGTGTGTGTGTGTGTGTGTGTGTGTGTGTGTGTGTGTGTGTGTGTGTGTGTGTGTGTGTGTGTGTGTGTGTGTGTGTGTGTGTGTGTGTGTGTGTGTGTGTGTGTGTGTGTGTGTGTGTGTGTGTGTGTGTGTGTGTGTGTGTGTGTGTGTGTGTGTGTGTGTGTGTGTGTGTGTGTGTGTGTGTGTGTGTGTGTGTGTGTGTGTGTGTGTGTGTGTGTGTGTGTGTGTGTGTGTGTGTGTGTGTGTGTGTGTGTGTGTGTGTGTGTGTGTGTGTGTGTGTGTGTGTGTGTGTGTGTGTGTGTGTGTGTGTGTGTGTGTGTGTGTGTGTGTGTGTGTGTGTGTGTGTGTGTGTGTGTGTGTGTGTGTGTGTGTGTGTGTGTGTGTGTGTGTGTGTGTGTGTGTGTGTGTGTGTGTGTGTGTGTGTGTGTGTGTGTGTGTGTGTGTGTGTGTGTGTGTGTGTGTGTGTGTGTGTGTGTGTGTGTGTGTGTGTGTGTGTGTGTGTGTGTGTGTGTGTGTGTGTGTGTGTGTGTGTGTGTGTGTGTGTGTGTGTGTGTGTGTGTGTGTGTGTGTGTGTGTGTGTGTGTGTGTGTGTGTGTGTGTGTGTGTGTGTGTGTGTGTGTGTGTGTGTGTGTGTGTGTGTGTGTGTGTGTGTGTGTGTGTGTGTGTGTGTGTGTGTGTGTGTGTGTGTGTGTGTGTGTGTGTGTGTGTGTGTGTGTGTGTGTGTGTGTGTGTGTGTGTGTGTGTGTGTGTGTGTGTGTGTGTGTGTGTGTGTGTGTGTGTGTGTGTGTGTGTGTGTGTGTGTGTGTGTGTGTGTGTGTGTGTGTGTGTGTGTGTGTGTGTGTGTGTGTGTGTGTGTGTGTGTGTGTGTGTGTGTGTGTGTGTGTGTGTGTGTGTGTGTGTGTGTGTGTGTGTGTGTGTGTGTGTGTGTGTGTGTGTGTGTGTGTGTGTGTGTGTGTGTGTTTGTGTGTGTGTGTGTTTGTGTGTGTGTGTGTGTGTGTGTGTGTGTGTTTGTGTGTGTGTGTGTGTCTGTAGGTCGCATAACTCATGAACCGATACACATAAAAACACCAAATTTTAAACATAAGCTTTATTCTAGCTGATTAGATTTTGGGCAGAGTCTGAACATCTGGGGGGATACTTTATAGGTGGTAATTTTTATATTTTATGAAATATATCTGTTATTTACGTTTGGAGAAGAAAATTTTTTAAATAAAAGTTACTTCTAATATAATTATCTAGAATTTTTGTTTTATACAAAATTTTCCTAAAATATTTTTTTATAAAAATTGTTTAATTAAAAGTTGTATGTAATATAATTCTCTTTAATTTTTATTCCTTACATAATTTCTCTAAAATGGACCGTATTCGAGATATTTGAGAAAATGTGTAAATTTCGAATTTTGAAGAAAACTCAAAAACGGATAAAGAAATTAACATTAAATTTTAAAGTTAAGGTTTATTTGGGCCTGACGTGAAATGATTGGATTTTGGACAAAGTCGGAACATCTAGGGGGGTACTTTATGGGAGGCCGTTTTTATATTTTATGGAATATATCCGTTATTTATGTTTGGAGAAGAAAATTGTTCAAATAAAAGTTACTTCTAATATTATTGTCTATAATTTTTGTATTTTACAAAATTTTCCGAAAATGTTCCGTATTCGAGAAATTTGACAAAATGTAAAAAAAATATTTTTTTATAAAAATTGTTTATATAAAAGTTGTTTGAAATATAATTCTCTAAATTTTTATTTTATACATAATTTCTCTAAAATGGACCGTATTCGAGATATTTGAGAAAATGTGTAAATTTAGAATTTTGAAGAAAACTCAAAAACGGATAAAGAAAAAAAACATTAAATTTTAAACTTAAGGATTATTTCGACCTGAAGTGAAATGATTAGATTTTGGACAAAGTCGGAACATCTAGGGGAGTACTTTATGGGAGGCCATTTTTATATTTTATGGAATATATATGTTATTTATGTTTGGAGAAGAAAATTGTTCAAATAAAAGTTACTTATAATATTATTATCTATAATTTTTGTTTTATGTTAAAATTTCCTGAAATGGTCCGTATCCGAGAAATTTGACAAAATGTGCAAAATTCTGATTTTTATGAAAAAATTGTTGTACTAAAAGTTGTTTGCGATATCGATCTCTATAATTTTTGTTTATACATGATTTTTCTAAAATGGACCGTAATGAAAAAGTGCTAAATTTAAATTTTTCATGAATATCTATAGAAAAATGTTTTGAGTATGTGGACAATGTATATATTTAGTTTATCCTCTAAACATTTATAGAGATGCTGCAATAGGTTGTACAAAATAACCGGAAAAAGCCTATAAAAACTAGATAGGAAAGTCATGTGTTGGACACATCAGTTTTTTGTAATAGATAAGGGTGCTAGATGGGCAAAATAACGTCAATAGTGGTCTAATGATTATACAATATTATTAGGACAAGACAATAATTATCAGAAATGAATTAAATTATCTTTGAAATGCACTTTATTTATTTATTATTAAATGAAATATAATAAAAAGGCTCATTAATTGTAAATTATTGATATAAAATTGTTAGAACAAGAAATATAATTATTTAGTAATATTTAAAAGTTGTTAAAATTTGAAATAACAAATATACGCTTATAAGCTCTTGCTCAGTGTGACGAATAAGTTTATACATTTATGAACTATTAGAATGTAATTACCATACAGCCATATACAGTATGGTTCAAATGAAAGGAATAAATTCATTATAATGGAATTAATTGGTTTTTCGAAAAAATGCTTGGACAGGTCAATTTTGTTTACTCAAAGCGCAATTTTTTAAATAGAATTCAATTTTCCCCCACTTCCCATTTTTGGGCAGTGACGTCATTGGCAATTTTTTTAAATAGTAACCCCATTTTTTTTTCTTGATTTTGATAGATCTTGCAATTTTCTACTCGAAAACATAATATTTGAAATATCTGACATAATAATTTTTTTTGATAAAAGTAATTTAAAGATCAGATACATAAATTTTATTTTATTTTGAGACACAATAAATAAATAAAAGATTATTTGTAATTAAGTGCTTCATCTAAAAAAAAAATAATAATATTAAAAAGAATTTAATGACAATTTCACAAATTCTTTATTATTATTATTATTATTATTATTATTATTATTATTATTATTATTATTATTATTATTATTATTATTATTATTATTATTATTATTATTATTATTATTATTATTATTATTATTATTATTATTATTATTATTATTATTATTATTATTATTATTATTATTATTATTATTATTATTATTATTATTATTATTATTATTATTATTATTATTATTATTATTATTATTATTATTATTATTATTATTATTATTATTATTATTATTATTATTATTATTATTATTATTATTATTATTATTATTATTATTATTATTATTATTATTATTATTATTATTATTATTATTATTATTATTATTATTATTATTATTATTATTATTATTATTATTATTATTATTATTATTATTATTATTATTATTATTATTATTATTATTATTATTATTATTATTATTATTATTATTATTATTATTATTATTATTATTATTATTATTATTATTTATTATTATTATTATTATTATTATTATTATTATTATTATTATTATTATTATTATTATTATTATTATTATTATTATTATTATTATTATTATTATTATTATTATTATTATTATTATTATTATTATTATTATTATTATTATTATTATTATTATTATTATTATTATTATTATTATTATTATTATTATTATTATTATTATTATTATTATTATTATTATTATTATTATTATTATTATTATTATTATTATTATTATTATTATTATTATTATTATTATTATTATTATTATTATTATTATTATTATTATTATTATTATTATTATTATTATTATTATTATTATTATTATTATTATTATTATTATTATTATTATTATTATTATTATTATTATTATTATTATTATTATTATTATTATTATTATTATTATTATTATTATTATTATTATTATTATTATTATTATTATTATTATTATTATTATTATTATTATTATTATTATTATTATTATTATTATTATTATTATTATTATTATTATTATTATTATTATTATTATTATTATTATTATTATTATTATTATTATTATTATTATTATTATTATTATTATTATTATTATTATTATTATTATTATTATTATTATTATTATTATTATTATTATTATTATTATTATTATTATTATTATTATTATTATTATTATTATTATTATTATTATTATTATTATTATTATTATTATTATTATTATTATATTATTATTTTGTTTAATTAAGCACTTAATTACAAATAATTATCTTTTATTCATTTATTGTGTCAGGTAATTTATGTGACTGATCTTTAAATTACTTTTATTCAAAAAAAATTGTTATGTAAGATATTTCAAATATTATGTTTCCGAGTAGGAAATTGCAAGATCTAACAAAATCAAGAAAAAAAAATTGGGGTTACTGTTTAAAAAAATTGTCAATGACGTCACTACCCAAAAATGGGAAATGGGGGAAAATTGAATTCTACTTAAAAAAATGCGGTTTGAGTAAAAAAAATTGACCTGTCCGAGCATTTTTTCAAAAAACCAACTACTTCCATTATAATGAATTTATTCCTTTCATTTGAACCACACTCTATGTACTCGCTGGAAAGTATACTGCCCATATAGAATAATTCTAAAAAACTAGGTAGTACGGCAAGTACCATAAAATAATTTTCAATTGAAAATGTCTACCGCAAGTAGGACCAACATTATTTTTTTATATAAATAAAAAGTTTGTTTCGGTCGAATAGTTTTAACTTTTTTATAATTTTAGCCCAGCCTATGTTTCGGAAAATACCATTTTTTTCCTTTTTTTATAAAAAGTATGGAAACGACTAAAAACAGTTTAAATATTTTTTTAAAAATAATAGAACCCCTTCTCTGTATTTCATATCGTGTGAAGGTGTATTCGAAATAATAATTTAGTATAACATGAAAAAGTAGGGAAATAAAGAGATGAGTTTTTATAAATCTAAAATGTTACAATTATAACACTAATAATAATAACAATATTAATTTTACTACTTTTAATAATAACACCTATATTATTATTATAAATAATAATAAAAATATTAACAACTATATTTATATGCTATATGTAAAAGGATTTTCAGAACAAGTTTCTAAAATGTTCTCTAAATATGTTATAAAAATTGCTCATACATCTAACAATACAATTAAAATGGTATTCTCGAATTTTAAGCACAAAATTAGTAAAATAAATCAACCAAATGTTGTTTATAAAATTGACTGCAAAAACTGTAATTCCACTTATATTGGACAAACAAAACAATATTTACATAAAAGAATAAAAACCCATAAAAATAATATTGTAACTAATAATGAAAATTCTGTGCTGCCTTAACTAAACAAGCGTTAGAAAATTTGCACTCTTTTAATTCTGAAAATGTAAGATTTTTCAGAAAAGAGCCATATTTCAGCAAAAGAACAATCCTTAAGATGATACGTATTTAAAAAATAACTCTGTAAATAATAAAACAGATATAAAAGATTTATCAAACGTTTATTTTAATCTTAGCTAATTGTAAGCTTTTTAATCTTTAATTGTAACGCCATTGATAATTTTAAATTTGTAAAAAGTCAATCTTTTTTTTTCCTACTTTATTGTGTTATTCCAAATTATTATTTCTTATACACCTTCACATGATGAGAAATATGGGGTTCTATTATTTTTAAAAAAATTTAAACTGTTTGTATTCGTCCCCATGCTTTCTATAAATTGACTGCACCAGAAGATGAAATAAATGGTAATCTATTTATGTATTTATAGTCAACGGTCCTATCAACGATAATACTGAAAGGGGCGATGGACCAACTCATAAGCTTTTAGATGAACATAATGTGACCTTAGTAAAAAATCTATGGTTTTCGAGATATTGCCACTTTAAAAAAATTCGTTAAAATCGTCCTCTTAGATCAGATTTTCTAGTGTCACTCCTAAAAAAATGTATAATTCTTAGATTTAGATTTAGGTTTTGTAACTGTGAATAGCCATTTCATTAAACAAAGATCAACATTGAACCAAACGTAAAATAATTTATTTTTATTTTCCATCACTCAAGTTTAACACCTCATACTGTACAAAAAAAGGTCTACACTAACCTGGCTAGTGATTTCAAAAGTTTGCTCATTTATTGTACTTTTAAAAACTACCCATTGTTCTAATAAACAGTTTACTGTTATTAACTTACAGTGAAGGATATACCTAATTTTCCTTATAAGAACATTCTAAAAATTAAACAAAATTAAATTGTGTTAATAAAAAATCTATTTAACTTAAGAAAAATTAAAAAAATCAAACAATATGTTCAAAAGGACACCACCAACGCGAATACAGGCGCGGCATCTTTTTAAAAAGGCCATCCATCTTGCATTTCTTGCCAAGTTTACCTCTTGGGCTGCGTCAGTTATTCGCTGACGTAATTCATCAATATTACTTATTGGTCTTGCATAAACCTTTTTTTTTATGCAACCCCAGTAAAAAAAAATCCAGGGGAATTAGGTCTGGAGACTTGGGGGGCCATAAAATTGGACCAAGTCGGCCGATCCATCTGTAAGAATAGGTTTGATTTAAATACGCACGAACTTGATGTGCATAATGTGCCAAGCAGTCATCATATTAAAACCACATTCTTCGGCGTGCGGCCAAAGAAACGTCTTCCAAAAGAAGTGGTAGGTGGGTTTGAAAAAATATGTAAATAAGCTTTTCAGTTTAGATTTTCTGATATTTCGAATGGACCGGTTACATGTTCGTTTAGGATACCAGTTAACAGGTTTACTTTGAAACGGTACTGGGACCTTTTTTCTCGAAGGGCGTGGGGATTTTCCAACGCATAATAGTGCAAATTGTGCATGTTCATAAAGCCATCCTTTTTAAATGTACTCTCATCCGACCATAGCACATGGTTTATAAAGTTCGGGTCCTCTCTATTTTTTTGCAACATTCTGCGGCAAAACCGTACGCGTTGTTCGTAGTCCCAAAGCAGCAGGGCTTGTACACGTTGCACGTGATATGGGTGATATTGATATATATCTCCTAGTGATCTCGTTTACTATCGATTTGGGTATCTCTGTTCGTTTTTCTATTATTCGCGCCGAAGTAGTCGGATCTTTTTGAATTACTTCTAAAACTTGAGTAATCCTGCCCTCCGAATATGCGCGATAAACATTCATAAACATACGATAATCAGGATATCGTGCCAAATTTGGATCTTTCCCGATAAAGCTTACCTGCCGATAGACCATTTCTTCTGCATTCTCCATAAATAAGATGCATGTTTGCATAATCCTGGGCGGTATACGGCAGCGGCATATTAAACAGTTCAATAACCAACACAAATAGTTTAATCAACACAAAGTCCACAGGAAAGTCAAGTCACTTCATTTGATCTCCAATACAATAAAATCCAAATCAACAGGTAACACACAAGTCCAGATACTCAAAGCAACAGTTTTTGACAGCACAGTAACAAAATACCAACAAAAATGTTTTTTGCTTGTTGATATGGCAATAACACTTGTTTCATGGCCTCCTAGGCTAGGCTGTTGATTTTTATTTAATTTTTGGTAAGAGAAATAAAACTTTTTTTCAACATGATTTAATCAATGTTAATAATGTTCTCATAAGGTAAATTAAGAATATCCTTTACTGTTAGTCAATAACAGTAAACTGTTTATTAGAACAAAGGGTAGTTTTTAAAAGTACATTAAATAAGCAAACTTTCCAAATCACTAGCCAGGTTAGTGTAGACGTTTTTTTGTACAGTATGAGGTGTTAAACTTGAGTGACGGAAAATAAAAATAAATTATTTCTCTGTAAAATAAGATTTCTTATTGAATATTTTAAACTTTTGATTCAATGTTGGTCTTTGTTTAATGAAATGGCTATGAAATGACTATGAGTATACATATTTATAGGAGTGACTCTCGAAAATCTGATCCAAGGGGACGATTTTAACGAATTTTATTAAAGTGGAAATATATCGAAAATCATCGATTTTTTACTAAGGTCAGATTATGTTCTTCTGGAAGCTTATGACCCCTTTCAGTATTATCGTTGACTTTCCGGACACCCTGTATAAAATTCTACGGTTAGGAAATGTATCCTTATTTACCATTATTTTTATAAAAATAATAATATTACTAACCTATGCAGTTTCTAGGTCCTTCTCCAAATGGGATATATCCTTCGAGTTTAGCATTTTTATCTTCGAATCTATCAGGATCAAATTTCATAGGATCTGGGAATAGGTCTGCATCGCGGTGCCATCCTTGAGCCGACATAATAACGGCAGTTCCTTTTTCAATTACTACGTTTGAATCTGGGAATTGGTAGTCTTTAACACAGACCCTATGGAGTGATGGCAGTAAAGGATATTTCCTCATGGCCTCTAAAAAATACAGAAATCATAAATGATTGCTCATTTATTTTTTTTTATTTTTAAATATATTTATACTTTTTTAATAAAAAACTGTTTTTACCGTTTAATACTTGAGAGAGATATGTCATGTCCTGTATAGCATCATAGGTTAAGTCTCCATATTTTGAAAGAACTTGTTTAATTTCGGCTCTTACTTTTTGTTGAATCTCTGAATTTTTAGCCATTTCGTAAAGCATTAGCGCAGAAACTGCTGATGATGTTTCAAAGCCAGCCGCAAAAAATATGAACGACTAAAAAGGAAAATTTATTCAAATTAAAATTACAAAAATTCATTCAATATAAAACACCGTAGGGCTCTTTTAAAACTACATTATATTGACGTTGAAAGATACGAGGGCGGGTCAATAAGTCCGTGACTTTTTGAATGAAATACAGGTTATTTTATTTTTCAACGTAGTCTCCTTTGAGCTCTTTACACTTAGCCCAACGTTTCTCCAGTTTTTTATCCCTTCCGAAAAATATAATTTGTCGAGGTCTTCAAAATAGGTATTTGTTTGTGAGATGACTTCGTCTTTGGAGGCAAATCTGTTTCCGCCGAGCCATTTCTTCAAGTTCGGAAACAAGAAATAGTAACACGGGGCTGGGTCGGGTGAATAGGCCAGATGAGAAAGCAATTCGTAGCCCAATTCATGAATTTTTGCCATGGAAACTGCAAATGTGTGCACCCGTGCATTATCCTGGTGGAAAAGGACTTTTTTCTTGGCCAAATGCGGTCGTTTTTTTCAATGCCTCATCAAATCGACCCAATAAGTTGCTGTAATATTCACCATTGATTGTTTTTCCTTTTTAAAGGTAGTCAATGTGGATAATACCGCGTGCATCCCAAAAAACAGTCGCCATGACTTTATTGGCTGAAAAACCAACCTTTGCCTTCTTTGGCGCCGATTCACCCCGAGAACTACTGTTTTGACTGCTGTTTGGTCTCCGGTGTGTTGTGATGGATCCACGTTTCGTCCACGGTTACGAAACGGCGCAAAAACTCGTTCATATTGCGACTGAACAACGCCAAACATTCCTGCAAAATTGTCACACGGTTACGTTTGTGGTCGATTGTGAGCAATCGCGGCACCCATCTTGCGGAAAGCTTTCTAATACCCAAATGATCATTCAAAATTGAAACCACTGAGCCATGTGAGATGCCTGTGGCTTCCACAATCTCTCTCTCTTTAAATTTCCGATCGGCTAAAACCATATCGTGGATTTTTTTCAATTGTTTCCGATGTGAAGACCTCAACTGGGCGTCCAGAACGTTCGGCATCTTCTGTGCTTGTACGGCCACATCGGAATTCAGTAAACCACTTTTTTACCATGAAAATGGATGGTGCAGAGTCCCCATCATATTTATCAAGCTTAGCCTTGATTTGCGTAATGGATTTTTTCCGCAAAAAAAAATGCTTTATGAGCACACGAAAATCACTATTTTCCATTTTCTTCTCAGTCAACGAGGTAATCTGATATTTACGGCTGTCAAAAACAAACTAAATGTCGCAGCTTGTTTAATTTTTGACAAGAGTTAACAGACATATGTCTGTTGACTGGAGCATGGTTGCCATTTCAATTAAGAGGCGGGAAATTCAAAAGGTCACGGACCTATTGACCCGCCCTCGTAAATTGTTCAAAATGAACGAAACTGATAATTTCCATAGAGAATAAAAAAAATATATATGTACCTTCTTCTCCTTAGGGTTTAATAAGTTCGATTGTTTAACAAATAACAAAACATTCCAAGGCTCCTAATATTCTGGAAATGATCAGTGAAAGAGAAAAATGGTTATTATATTACTAATTTTTATATTTTGAGTAACTTGTTCATATAGTAAATGAGAAGCTCAAGAGTGAGATTAGGTTATGCCCGTCTGATTAAACTTATGAATGTTTTATTATTGTTTTCGTTTTTACTATTATTTTATGAAACGCTTTAAAAAGTGTAACATGAGCCTTGTAAAAGTATTTTGTTTTGTTCATTAGTTTTATAAGCTAATGTCCGTTTTTAGGCTCAGGTAGAACACAAAGAGGATATCCTCCATTTTAAATATGGCAGTGGCTATTTAACCACATATCATGTAAAATATTACCTGTCTAACAGACCTGTACCTAAAGGATATTCAAATAAATTATGGTCAAAGTTCAAATAATTCTAAAATCTTTTAATTTTAGTAATGACGTATTTTGTGTACAGTGTACAGAGTACAGAGATAGTGTGTCAATGACAACAATGTACCAATGATAGTAGATTTATTATTTATGATTACGTTTATTACGTTTAACCATATAATGTCAAATTTGTCAAATATATTTACAGCTAACTCCTTTTAGAGTATATAGATGTAATTTACATTGGAATATACTATGATATATTGTTATACAATTCTTGTCTCGCCTAAAGTAATTTATGATTAAACACAAAGTTTGTTTGTGAGAGTCCAGTAGTTAGTATGCGTAATTGAAAATGGTTTTCTGACGATGACAAGTGTCCATGCAAAGACAATAGGATTTATGTTGGCAGTTAAATAGTCACTTCCATGAAATAATTTAAAAAATACAAAATGTGATATTTTATATGAAAAACATATCGAAGACAAATGTAATCATTTTATAGTGCTATGTATACGATATTTACAATGTTATTTTCTATTAAATAACTTTCGGTAAATAGATTAGCAATCCATAAAATTATTCTTTTTTACGTATATTTCATATATTGTAAGGCCCATCATTTATTACGACCCACCTTGCCCACTTTTAACAGTACTTTGGTGTGTGTTTGAAAATTGAAGTGTAACTAAACAAATTTAACACACACTATATAATAATTAATTTCTAATATGACAGTCTTCCCAACATGTTTGCAAAATCATTCTGTCAGAGAGTATGATAAAACAAAAATAACATACGCAGCTTTGGTGTGGTGGCCAAAGACACAGCAAAGGAAAACAATAACGAGGCTTAGCAAGGTACAAAGACTTGCCTGCCTCGGAATAACGTGGGCAATGAAAACAACCCCCACTGCTGCAATGGAAGCACTAATAGGACTCCCACTTCTTCACTATGTGATACAAGGGGAGGCAAGATTAGGTGCTTACAGATTAGGGAATACACTGGGAAATCTTGACATTAGGCCAGGTCACATGAGTATCTGAAGGTTAGTGACAGGAGACGTCCTAGACATGAGATCAGACCACTTAACCAAGAGGTACTCTTTTAATACTCCCTTTGAGGTTTTAATACAGGAAAGAGCGGAGATCACCATAAGGGAGCCCAATGCCCAACGACAGGCACAAACCTGGTATACAGACGGGTCTAAGACTGCGGAAGGCACTGGGCCAGGAGTATTCTCCAAAAACCCTGATACTAACCATGGCTATGCTATAGCAATACATTCCTCGGTATTTCAGGCCGAGGTATACGCAATTTTGCAATGTGCAAAAACGAACAATGAAAGAGCTGTCGAAAATCAGCATATTTAAATAATGTCAGACTGCCAAGTGGCACTTAAGGCCATATCGAGTCAGAAAGTTACGTCAAGGCTGGTATGGGAATGCATTGAAGAACTAAGAACACTGGCAGACCGTAATAGAGTAAAACTATTTTGGGTGCAGTCACAAAGGGATCGAAGGCAACGAAAAGGCTGACGAACTTGCAAAAAGAGGGTCAGAAGAAACACCGGAACCAAACACAAACCCAGGAGTACCAAAAAGTACAGTCCGGGGTTTTATAAATGACTGGATTCGGGAACAACATATTAACTATTGGGGAAGCACCCCAAAACAGGCACATGGAAAAGCCTTTATAGGCAGACCATGTCCCAAAAGAACTGGAGAACTACTCTTAATAAATAGTAACCAGGTGAAAGTGATAACAGGGTTCATGACTGGGTACGCCCCAGTAAAGGGACACTTGAACAAAATTGGCATGTACAATGGGGAAATCATGTGTCGACTATGTCACAAGAAACCAGAAACGGCCAAACACATACTGTGCAAATGCGAAGCTCTAGATCGCAAAAGACAGGCTGTTTTTGGACAACCCCAGGTTGATCCAACAAAATATAGAACCCACTCACCCAAGGATCTGTACAAACTTGTACAAGGTACAAAGGTGACAGTGTGGGTGCTATGAACTAACATGGGGTAAAACACAATAAGCCAATAGGCATCAGTGTTATTCGGAGACACATAGTCAGACGAGCCCAGGAGAGAAAAAAAAAATGATAAAACATAATAAAGCTAAAACAGTTTAAAATTTAATTATCTTAAAACTGATTAGTTTTGTAAAGTTGTTATGCCTATCCCAATTATTATTGTAATTTTAAAAAACATTTAAAAATGGTTTAATAAAATTCTTAATATACTCTTACGGACTTAGTCTTAGGTCTAATTAGTTTTAAGATACTGTTTTAAAAATACTCCTAAGAACCGTTATATGATTCTCCCTTTAACTCTTAAAGCAGATATATAGCAGCCTAAAGCTATCTCGCGGATTAAAAAATTTCTTAAAACAGAATTTTATGGTTACCTTGCATACGATAAATCTAAAAATGTTACTTGGGAGGTCAAACATTATGGAGATGCCAATGTTGTAAATTCAAACAGCCGCTTTGTGTAGGAAAGGGCTTTGAAAATTATTATAAAACCTAGGCAGTTTTTAAAGTTACCACGTACGTTTGTGCAATTTTGTGGAATTTGTTTTGATGAATATTTTTTTATGCTGAGAATTTAGTGCATTTAGTAAAAACGAAAACAACAATAAAACATTCATAAGTTTAATCAGACGGGCATAACCTAATCTCACTCTTAAGCTTCTCATTTACTTTACGAACAAGTTACTCAAAATATAAAAATTAGTAATATAATAAATATTTTTCTCTTTCACTGATCATTTCCAGAATATTAGGAGCCTTGGAATGTTTTGTGCATTTTATTTTTTTGTCTCAATAAAAAGTTTAATAATACGTCCATGCATATCATATAAATTGCCACGTATAGACGTGTCTGCATTAACAGACCTTCTGTTTTTTTATCAAAAAAATAAGTTAGTTTCTGCTTGTTAATGAATAAACTCATTATAATTATATAAATTTTTAAATCAAATAGAAAAATTAGAGTGACGACGTATGGTACATTTTTTCGCCAAGCGCACGTCAATGTGTTAATCAGACACCCTCTGTAGTAGTTTTATTCGAATCTTGTTCGTTCAAATTATGTATTATGGTTTGACGTTCTTTGTTATGAACTTATGTAAGAAACATTTATTTAAAATAAAGTGGCCCTGCTCATTGTATTTTATCACATCTTATTCTTGTTTTGGTTGCAATTATAAATTAACTAAATTTTCATAAAATTTGAACAATATTTGTATTTATACACAAACTTTTTTACTTTTATTTCACAAAAACTACAACCTGAAGTTCTGATACAGTTTTTTATTATCGAAAACGTATCGTTACTTGTATTTATCTACGTAGATGCATGAGATTTGTATGCCACGTGACGTCATATCATAAAACAAAGATAGACCTAACATGCGCAGGAACATATCGTTATTTCTGTATCGTGAAAAAAATTATGTGATGCAAATTTGAAATATTTGTCACCAGATATGAACTAATAATACATAGTGCATATTCTTTTTCATACGAAATGAAATTTTACACCTCTAGTATCAGAAATACCCAGAGTATTTTCATTTTACAGATCCTTTGTATGGACAAGGATGAAATGTTACTTCTAAGCTTAGTGCATACTATTTTTCTGCTGGACCGTTAAAAGGAGCACTCTGACTATAAGTGGTGATCAAATTATACAGGGTGGCCACTTTTTAATGGGATTGTATTAGTAATTTTTAAATCATACTAGTTAGAAAGTTGGTTAAATGGAGAAAAAGTTGCCTATCTCGAAGTATAATCTAGCGGTGGAAATTAATCGAAAATAGCAGGCCCGGTTCTTGAGATATTTTGATAAAAGAAAATTCGATCTTTTCGGTTTTTTGGTTATCGTTCATTTATTTTTAGAACTACCAAAAAAGAATTTTAAGGTTTTTTATTTGATATTAAATTTTCTTTTATTTGACGTTTTCATATTTTGCATTCAACGTTTCGTATTCTCCGGACCACCCTCAACTTATTTTTTTTAAATATGGACCTGGATATTTTATAACATTATTTGAAATAACTTTTCATCCTGCATCCAGCGGTGTATTACACAATGGCATTCAATGACGGTTTTTGGGTAATATGGACCGTAATCCAAATTTTATTAAATTTACTCCTAGTTTCAGCCATCTTTAGTTGAATCGACATAATGTCATGCCTGTAGATAAAAAATAAAGTCAATTCTTACAAAATTAAACAATTCATCAACAACAATAGTAATGTAGAAATTTTAAAACGCAATTAGTGATAATAACAAGAAGAAATTCAGTCATAATCAAATTATTTGAAAATATCAATAAAATTAATTGAGTAATTTTTTAAAATGTCCGCCATCTTCTTCAATACACTTGGCGATTCTGATATTCAGATTTCTTATGCTATTGCTAATTTCTTCTTCTTGGATTCTTCCATTATTTTTTCCTAATTAATCACTTTATGTTCGAAGTATTATAAACGGGTTATAAAATCAATACAGATCCGTACCAATAAAATTTGGATTACGGTCCATATTACCCAAAAACCGTCATTGAATGCCACCGCTGGATGCAGGATGAAAAGATATTTCAAATAATGTTATAAAATATCCAGGTCCATATTTAAAAAAAAATAAGTTGAGGGTGGTCCGGAGAATACGAAACGTTCGATACAAAATATAAAAACGTCAAATCAAAGAAAATTTACTGTCAAATAAAAAACCTATAAAAGATTTTTTAGTAGTTCTGAAAATAAATGAACGATAACCAAAAAACCGAAAAGATCGAATTTCTTTTTATCGAAATATCTCAAGAACCGGGCCTGCTATTTTCGATTAATTTTCACCGCTAGAGTAGACTTTGATATACGCAACTTTTTCTTCATTTAACTGACTTTCTAACTAGTATGGTTTGAGAATTACTAATACAATCCCATTAAAAAAGTGGCCACCCTGTATAAGAGGTGAGTGAACGCAATAAACAATTTTTAAATCAACAGTAAACAAATGCATATTTTAATAAATTACAAAAGGTAACTTCAGGTATACTATCTAAACCAACAAGTTACATATTTAGAATGTTGGGACAATTGCCGAATTAACATGAAATTATAAACTTAATTCTCCTGTAAATAAATATCAATTAACAAATTTGGTAAATTACCTGACCAACAATTTCGTCTGTGGTTAGATCAACTCCAGAATTTTTCATTTCGATTAATAACTGCAGGAAATCCGCTCTCTGTTCTTTGTTTTTGATTCTGTTTTCTAGAGCTTCCGGAACAAAATTTTTGAAGAATGATTCAACATTAGGTTGGAAGCCAGCTAGGTTAATAAGTTTGGCTAATTTGGGGTAGCAAATGGTGATGAATAACGCAAATCTGAATGGTAATGTAAAGGTTCCAAACAAATCTCGTCCTAATTTTCTGAAAGTGGCATCTGGAGACTTGAAACTGTTAGCGTCGACTCCATAAGTAACTGATCCTGAAAATTTATAAAAATTTATATGAATATAAATATAATGATTACCTAATTAAAACGAATTTTTAATCAAAATGAAAGACCTTAGTTATTATGAGTTCATTGCACCCATGACCTTTTTTAGGTATACGTACCTATCACATCGGTAAAATAGCAACCCATAACTTCGTAAATATCAATATCTGCCTTTCCATCTTTCGCTAAGACTTCCAAATTGCTTTCCAATTCATCACTGCATTTTTTTATGGTGTTAAAGAAGTATTTCATTTTGGCAGATGTGAATATGCTCGTAAATTTGGACTATAAATAAAGAATATAAAAATTAATTCCAATATTTTTTAATCGGTATCTTATTCTTATTATGGTGTAGAAAATAGATATCAAAACTGAAAATTTGCCGTAATTAGTGTATAATGATGTTAATCATGAAAAAAACAGTTAATATTCAAAGTCCATGTTAACTTGAATAATATAACAAAAAAACATGTAACTACGTACAAATAACTTATTAAAATAGTTTATCATAAAGAAATGTTATTGTATTATAGCTAATTTAAATTGGGCGAGCAACAATGCTATTAACTTTGTCGCTCAGTGAGCGGCAAAACTGCCAATTAATGAAAGTTCACGAAAAACGTCAACTTTGCGGTTGAATTTCGAAGCGTAAATTATTTTTGAACCCCTAAGGTGAAAAATTTAACAGATAATTAAAAAAAAATTGTTTTTTATTCGTAAAGGTGATATTGGGATTTTTTGCAGATTTCCAGAAGTTCATAAATGTGGGCACTATTATTATTTTTTATTTGTTTGTAACAATAAATTTGGTTTATTTACATAAAATTATTTTTTTCTCGATAAATATCCAAATTATCGAAATTCAAGCGCAATGTTAACGTTTTCGCAAACTGACGTTAAGTGGCACCTCTGTCGTTGTCTAAACGACAAATCTTACAGATCTATGCTCGCATTATTTATATTACGTATAGTCCAATAATATTTAGTTTTAATAAATCGTTTTTAAGTTATTTGTATGTAGTGATTTTACAATAACTTTGAATATCAACTTCTTTTTTCATGTGTAACGAAAATATATGCAACACATTATACACTACTTACAACAAATTTTCAGTTTTTGTATTTATTTCTTTAAATAATGTTATCGTAGAAAAAACCTTGTGTGCATTTGAAGTTAAAAGTTCGTTGCTTCTTTCGATAAAATTTTCACAAGCTTTGTAATACACACATAGCCTTTTACTATTTAATAAATAATTATTTTTTTTAAATTTATAAATTAATAACAACATGTCAAATATATAAAATAAAATAGTTTTAAATTAATCAAGAGGTATTATTAAGGACGTACGTCGTATATCTTTATTATTCATGAACTATTTTAGAATCTTTTTTGAAAATAGCAGCCAGTTATAGTTTTTATTTAGGATCTAAGCATACTCGTATAAATTAATCAAATTCTTTTTTGGTAATGGATAAAAATTCTTTAATTTAAAAAAAGTTTTGGATTTGGTTGGGCTAACTAGATGCTAACTAGAATTACTAGATAAAAATAGCAATATTCTACTTTAAAAAATGTGTAAAATGTATATGTATCTATAAAGAGCTTCGACATTTTTTTTCTGCATTAACCCTGTAGGGTCATTAGCGAGAGGCAATTTATATATTAAACTAAAAAAAAATACTCATGGTTTACAATACTAATTGCTCTAAGATATGCTAATATATTTTTAAAAGAACATTTGGGCCCCAGGGCTTGATCTAATGTAGAAAGAATATTACACTTAATTTGTTCTTGGCTATATTTTTGGCAAATTATTAAAAAATGTTCTACAGTTTGCTTTACATTACAAAGTTCACCTATTAGTTCTGGTTGTTTATTCATTAAATAAGCGTGTGTTAATTTAGTATGACCTATTTTTAACAGAGTCATTATCACTTGTGTTTTTCGGTCTTTGGGTAATTCCTGCCACGAATTCACTTAAGGTTTGACTGATTTAAGCTTAGTTGTCATTTTGCAACTTACTTTGCACTTTTGATTTTATTAAACTTTTTGCATCACTCGTTAAAAGATCAAAAATTTGGAGAGTGTCTACCGCACTTATTGTTCCGTGCGCATTGAAGAATATTTTAAGAAAAGCAGACTTTTCTCTATTCTTAGTAATTCCAAACGTGTATATAATGGAGACGAAACATGCTTTCAGTTTTGTCGAAAGGTGGAAAACGTTTAGGCTCCGAAAGGCAAAAAAAATGTATACATGGTTGAGAATTGGGCAATGCAAAACAAAACTTAACTGTTATGTTTACGTATTCAGCAGCTGGGATACTACTTCTCCCACGATTATATATCCTAATAAACGTTTACCAAAAAACATACTTTCTGCTTTACCCGAATCTTGGGGCAATGATCTTACTGACAATGGTTGTTGGATGCAGTGTGAAGCTTTCGGTGAGTACATAAAAAATGTTTTATATCCGTCTTTTAAAAATAAAGTCGAATTTCCTAAAATTATTTTTGTGGATGGACACAAAACTTATTTATCGTTGGAACTAAGTAATCTATGCACCGTGTTGCAGATAGTACTAATTGCCCTTCATTTCAATTCCACAAGGATTTTGCAACCTTCAGACGTATTAAGTTTTAAACCATTAAAATGTTTAAGGAAGAAGAGCGTTTTGGATTGGAGATGGAACAATCCTTATTGCAATTTGGCAAAAGAATACTTTGCTCCAATTTAAAAGAAAGCCTTGCAACACTTAAAACCTAATTTTAAATCTTGTGGTCTTTATCTATAGTATGTAGATGAACTAGATTATTCTTAATGTTTTGGAAAAAAGGTATTACAATCACCTCATAAAAACAAAGATTCTTCAAATAAATTTGGTGATAAAATATATAAATTTATTTGATAATGAATTATTAAGAGAAATAAAAGAAAATTCACGTCCTAGATGTTTATCTGAAAGATGTAATTGTTTTGAAATATTACAAAAAATATATCAAAATTTATACTATACCTCACCATTGCAAACTACAAATTCCACTGATTTATTTTCAAGTGCTGACTGAAAATATGCCCATTGATATTGGCGATGACTTTCAGAATAAAATTTTTGAAATAATTCAAGAAAATCCAAAAGGGAAAATAATTGTTTTAGAGAATATTCTAATACAAAAGCGCCACCAAACATTGATAACAAACATAGAAGAAAAAGACGTTTCAGTCACCAATAAAAAAGGATTAGATAAAATTCAAGACGATGATTATATCTATGGTACTTTTTCAGATCATCCTTATGAAGCTATGGAAAATAATGAGTCAAAAACAGATTATAAACTTGCTAGTCGCAACACCCGTAAAACTAATTAAGTTATTAGTACCCATATCAACAGCACAATGATTAGTCCGACTACCAACAGTACTATTACTACTGCTTTAACCAAGATAATTCCTACTGTCAATAGTATATTAGGTATATTGGAGAAAATAAACCAAAATTAAGACATGCCATAGACTTACACAAAGAGTTTAATCCAGTAAATGATATAGTTGTCTCTAGAGGACTCTGTTTTTAGTAGTACAAAAAATTTTTATATGACCAATATTGGAATAAAATGTCAAAAATGTAGCCGTTCATATCATGTTAAATGCTTAAAAAAAAACCACACTTTTAGCGAATTTTTCCTGTGCAAAATGTGTACTCAAATATCAGTTTTAATTTTGATAAAAAATTACTTTTACATTTCTGATTTTTAATTTTTTTTAATTATATTAAATAGTGCTAAGAAATATTTTACAAATTTTTTTTTTTATAAATAAAAGTTGTATAATTTTAGCAGTAATTTAATTTTTTTCTATAACAACTACCTATACCAATCATTGAGTGTCAACATTTGAAAAATACAAACTTTTAACTATTAAATTTTTATTCATATATTTAATATTTTCAGTTTATGTTCAAAAAATGTTTATATATTGCAAAGCTTTTGATGAAAAACCAAATACAAAATAAAATTCTCTGTTTGTTTGGCAATATTATTAGTATGACATCCTCTTTAAAGGTAGCAACAATTAAGGGCTTTACCCTATTTCATAAAAAAAACTAATTTATTTGTTTCATAACTTACCCTGGAAGTTCTCCACTCATCTCCACCTTGCGTTATTATATTCACACTAAGGGGACTTTTTTTATTGTGAAAGACACCACGATCTACGAAACTTGAGAAATCTGTAGTTAAAATATGTTTTGCTAATGTAACATCAGTTATAACTAGATATGGATCCAAACCTAAATAGACACCTAAAAAATAAGGAATAGATACTAAGTCGATAAAAAAAACACAGCTGTTTTAATTAAAAGATTTATTGAGCTCAAGAAGCTTTTTTTTATTTGGTCAAATTAATGGTCTATTTATAATAAACCTATTTTCAATATTAGTAACAGTCTATACGTAAGCATAAACTGAAAAAAGTATTCAAAAAGGACATTTATAACAGAATTATTAATAGAGTAATTGTAACAGAATTAGGCACAAAATATTCAAAATGGGGCCATTTATACTCATTGATTATGCAATTACATTATAATTAAACATGAGGAAAACAAAATAATCGAAAAATTACAACTACATTGTTTGAAAAAATTTTTAGAACTGCATTTTCAAAGTCACAATAATGTAGAATAATTGAATAGGTAGTTCGGTCATCAAACTAAATCTCCCGTGCAAAGGAAAAACCTAGTAACTCAATTTTTAGCCAAATTTAGTTTTCTATTGTTAATCTGCTAGCAATTTTTACTGGATAGGTATTAATAAACTTGTGATATGTTCAAAAATAAGCACGAAATCACTTCTGAAATTTCCTAGTAAGTATAAAATATGACAAGTTTACAACGGTAAAATATAGCAATACAATATTCCAAAGGAAGAAACCAGCATATTTATTTTGATAGTGTAATTTGTACGAGTTTATTGTTTTTTTGCTAGGGAAAAAGATAACAAAACTATTTACTGACTTATTCGGTTGGTTTACGCTAATATATATTTTCTATATTTCAGCGGAAAAACATATCTACGAGTAGTTATCCTACTATTTTATTATCAAAACACATTAGATTCATTTAAAATGGAAAACTTAGCAATAATATTTTGCTAGGTATTTCCAGTGCATTATAACATTTTTATGAATTTACGCCCAATAATACTATGTTTTTCCAGTCTAAATGAGTCTGTAAGGTTTTCGCGGGAAAATTGACAACTTACTTGCTGGGTTTTTCCTCGGGAATAAATATACAAATCATCAGTCAATCAGTTGAGTTTAAACTTTTCGACCGTAAAATAGTAATTTTTTTTTGGGGACTTAAATCGGGTAATACGAAGATAAACAAGAATAAAAAGTGTGAAAATGTCAAAAATGGGAAGGTATTTAGTTGAGTTGGCTATGGAATCTAAAATAGAGACTTTTAATGATAACCAAAGTGCTTATGGGGAAACCAGCAATGGGTAAGTTATAAATTAATATATTTTTAATCTTAGTTTTATAAATATAATAATACCTATAAGTGTTTATGTGGCCATGCATTTCTTGCAATAACGTTAATTATCTACATACATTTTAAGTAAAATTTTGTTTATTTTTTTAATCTGAATTCTATAAAAAAAATAGACCAGTGTTTTTATCGTAGTGCCTAGTAGTTAGTTTCCTTAGTCACACAAATGATAACTGAAAAGTAATACTGCTAGTAAAATACCCTATTTATTTTCGATTGCCTGCTAGTAAGCTGTTTTTAGAGCATTGGAATTTTATTTACCTTTAAAAATATTTTAGTATCGAAAAATATGGTGATGAGACAGATCGAAAAATGATCCCTGTAGAAATGAGACAGTCCAATGAAATTATTGATGAAAATGCGATCAATCAAACAAATAATTGTAAAAAACCAGTTTTACCAAATGTTGTCACAGAGCTACAACCACTTCGTGAAGGTAATGCGACAGATCGAAAAATGATCCCTGTAGAAATGCGATAGTCCAATGAAATTATTGATGAAAATGCGACCAATGAAACAAATTGTGAAAAACCAGTTTCACCAAAAGTTTTCACAGAGTTACAACCACTTCGTGAAGGTATTTCTAAATGTTTAAAAAATATTAAAAAACTTATAAATAAAATGTTGCGCAAATTTAAAGAGAATCTGGAAGATAGCCCTGTTGATGATTTCGATGTGGATCCAGACATGAACCATCAAATGAAGAGCAAAACAATACCAAAAAGTTGACATTTCTAGCCCGAAAAAGAAAAATTTCAAATAAGAATATTTATCTATATCTATATATCATCATTAGGGGTTTCTTAGCACAATGTAAATTTAAAAAAGCTTCCTGAAACTGGGGGGTAGTATGTATCCTTTATTAAACTTACTTAAAAACTATACGCCTATTATATTATGAGTATTTTAAAGGCACTACCAAATTTAAATACTTGTCTCTATATTCTAAACCAACAAAAGGTAATACACCGATATAGTGTATCATTTTGATTTTTTGGGTGCTGAAAGCGATTATAAATTAACTGAGGATGAAGATGAGAATAAAAATAAAAAATCGGTAGTTACACAGGTAAAAAAAAAGAATTAGAACTGAACTAGAAAAAAGAAAAAGGAATTTGCAAAAATATCAGTTACTTCCAGAATGTAACTGCAAGAAAAGATGCTTTGATTTTTTTTCTAATGATGAGCAAAAAAGCATTTGCGAGTCGTTTTGGCGATTAAGCTTTGGAAAAAGACGACAATATTTAAATGCCTACGTAAAAAGAATATTGTTCAACAAAGGCGGACAGGCAGTAATAATAAAAGACAGTGGTCTCTTACCTACAGTATGATAAAAGTTAATGAAGGCACCGAAAAAAAGGTTTGTAAAACTATGTTTTTACATACCCATGGACTTAAAACAGATGGTATAATCACAGAACTTAAGCGTCACCAAAATAAATTTAAAGAATTACAAATTGCAAGGACGGGAGAGGAAAGGGAACTCCGCCCAATAAGAAAGATGGTTTAATATTTAAAGATCATATTAATTCATTTAACCCACAAGTATCCCATTACAAACTTGTGCATGCTCCAAACAGGCGATATCTACCTTCAGATATAAGTATAACAGATATGTGGAAAGATTTCTGTGAAACAATAGAAAATGTGTCCTACGAAAGGTACCGACACGAAGTTTATTTAGAAAATATTGGGTTTGATCAGCCCAATCAGGATAACTGTAACGTATATGTGTTTTACAAAAGGAACATGCAAAAGTTTGTAATAATTCGAAAAGTGCAAATTGCAATGAAGCGTGTTCTTCTTGTTTTGGTTTTGATGTACATCATGAACTCTATAAGCAAGCAAGGGCGGCATATCAAGGAGATCGCGACAAAATTGCCAAGAAAAGTAACATGATGTTTTCAGTCGATATGCAAAAAATTTTATTACTACCTAAAATGTTCGCTAACATCATCTGTTTTTGTAAGCAGGCTTGTGGTATTTATTGAAACATTTGCTGCCCTACATAAGCCCCTTTTTAAAAACATTTGTGTATTATGGCACTGGACTCTAAGTGATAGGAATGCAGAAGATGTAGCTTCCACTTATTATACTATTATTAAAATGGCACCTGCTCATATTAAGCACTATACCTTTTGGTGTGACAACTGCAGTGCTCCGAATAAAAATTGGAAACTGTATGTTGCTTTGTGTACAGTTGCCAATGCGGATTGGGACCCAGAAACTGTGACTGTCAAGTATTTTGAAGCGGGCCATTCATTTATGAAAGCAGATGTTGTGCATGGTCAAATTGGGAAAGCAATGGAAAAAAATATAATGTTTATGACATTCATGACCTAAATGAAATTATTCTTAAAACATCAACACATAATAAGACTCTTTTGCTAAATTTTGAGGACGAATTTAAAGAAGATAGTAGACAAAGACGATCAAAAGATAGCTCGAAAAATTTACCTATGTTAAACAACGTTAAAGTTGTTTAATTCCAAAAAAATTTAAAATATATGTTTTATAAAACTAAACATACAGACAATGAATTTGTAAGCGTAGATTTTTTAAGATCCAAATATACTATGTCAATACTGGAGACTAAAAAAAATAACCGGGGCATAAACCCTAAAAAAAAAACAGAAAATTTTATATGATTTGGTTCCATCTATGCCTCCCATTAAAAGATGATTCTGGGAGCAATTGCCAACGTCTGGGAAGTCAACTGATCTTTTATCAAACCAGTATTAAACGAATACATTTTAATTTGTTCTCCATTTGCGTTTTCATGTATTTCATTAAATGATTAAAATAGACATACCTACTAAACCAATTTTTTGATATTTTTTTAAAAGCATATTTTTCAGTATTTTGATAGACTAGCCTAATGTGATTTATCTTCAATAAAACTGCTTTAGTAAATTACAATTTGTTTTATTTATCAGATTAGTCGATCCTTTTTTATTGTGACATCTTTCATGATTTGACTTTCAGCTCCTTAATTTGTTAGTAAGTTGACTTGCTAGAATAAGCCTTGATAATTGATATTTTTTGAATTAAATAAAAACAGTAAATCAGCTTACTATATTTTTACATTGAAATTTTATAACTCTTATCTAAAAGAAAAAAATAGTAAATCCTGTATTTTAAAAACTATTCAATGTATTGAAAAAATAAAAGTGAATTTGCAAAAATTGATTTTAAAACCCTATACACTGATTAAAATTTTTTATTTGCCCATCTAGTTTCTTAATGTCATTGAAAAACCAATACATCCGTTATACTGTAAAATTATATTAACTGAATTACTAGGTTTTCCTTTTCACGGGGGAAATTTAACGTAGTTCTTATTTTATGATCCCTAAAGAATTGATGGCACAATATAAAAAATAGGCCTATACATACAAAATAAAGAAGACTTAGCTCGGGGTATCAATAAAAACTAAATTTATAAGAATATTTCGTACATACTTATATTTTACTTACCCCCTAATTTTTGTCCTTGTTTTTTAAATTCTTTATAATATATTTCAGAAAGCCCTCCCAATGATATACCTTTTGGTAAACTTATTGAATGATTGCCAAACGGGAAAGTAGGTGGAATCTGAGGAACACCTCTTCTGGTCCAATAGCTGTATTTGTGTTTGATATAAAAATATGCAGCGATTCCAAGGGTTGTAATCGCTATAATTAGGTCGGTCAATAATTTGTCAGTTATAAACATTTTTGCTGAAACAATAAAGATTTATATATCATACAGTTTCGGAAAAATTAATGATCGAATTTAAGAGAAATACTTAGGCATTTATTTTTAAACAACTTAGATATTGTAAAAAAACCTATATAGAAGTTCGGTTATTTTTTTTTATGAAATTTTAAAAACGCAATAAAACCACGTGATTTAAATGACTTAAAAGAACGAATAATGCTTACATATTGAGTGTATTGTAACAAATTTTGGTTATCAGTTATTTTATTTTTTTATGTTAATTTTTGCAATAAATTTAAAAACAACATTTTTGAATAGAGAATGAAGAGACCTTTCAAACGATATATCACAAGCCTATACTTCCCATTTAAAAAATAAGGGGTTGTTACTGTTACTGAAAGGGGGTTGAAGGTAGGGATCACATTTTGACTTTAAAGAATGTCAATTTATAATTTAAATTTGAAGTGTTTCGGGATTTATTATAAATATGTACAGTAATCGAAATAATGAATTTATTCCATTTGGCTTTTCCACACTGTACATAAAAATTACTTATTTAAAATTACTACCTACTTTAAAAAATAGTTACATAAACTCGAATATACATATTATTATTGTTGTATAAATCCTCATGAATAGCAATTTGCTTTCGATGAAACCTCTAAGAAAATATAATGTAATGTCGAAAAATGTCTGCAATATACAAAACTATTTTAAGTTATTGCATAACAAAAATCATACTATAGTAAAGCACTAGTATAAAATAAATTGTTTTTAATAGGTTTTACTGTTCTAATACCGTTTAAATAATTAAATTATTACCTTTTTATTAAGTACTGTACTGCACTGCACTGCACTGTAGTTCAATCTACCAATAATAATAAAAAAGTGATTTAAAAGTAATAGTAATAATATATATATATATACAAATTCAAATATTAAAAATTATTTATCGCCAAGATTTTTATCATTAAAAGCTTAGACTTCCACTTGAGATTTTTCGATATCATCATGAGTAAAAATTTTAGATATCAGAATACCTTTTTTCTATAACAAAATATTAATATGTATTCAAATTGTCTACTTTAAAATGATAATCATCATAAATTAAACTTAAACGATGACTTTGATATTAAAGCGGCAATATAAAACAAAAAATTAGATTTTTATTTCATGAAAATAATATAATATTTTAAATTATTAATAAATAACAGAAGTAACCAACTAATATAAAAATCTGATATGTCCAACACATGACTTTCCTATCTAGTTATTATAGGCTTTTTCCGGTTATTTTGTACAACCTATTTCAGCATCTCTATAAATGTTTAGAGGATCAACTAAATATATAATACATTTTCCACTTACATCTACCTCGAAACATTTTTCTATAGATATTCATTGAAAACGAAAATACTGAAAAATTTAAATTTAGCACTTTTTCTCCAATTTTTCCATTACGGTCCATTTGAGAAAAATCATGTATAAACAAAAATTATAGAGATCGATATCGTAAACAACTTTTAGTTTAACAATTTTCTTAAAAATCAGAATTTTGCACATTTTGTCAAATTTCTCGAATACGGACCATTTCAGGAAAATTTGACATGAAGCAACATTTATAGATAATATTAGAAGTAACTTTTATATGAACAATTTTGTTCTCCAAACATAAATAACAGATATATTCCATAAAATATAAAAACGGCCTCCCATAAAGTAGTCCCCCCAGATGTTCCGATTTTGTCCAAAATCTAATCATTTCATGTCAGGCCGAAATAAAACTTAAGTTTAAAATTTAATGTTTTTTTCTTTATCCGTTTTTGAGTTTTCTTCTAAAATTCGAAATTTACACATTTTCTCAAATATCTCGAACATGGTCCATTTTAGAGAAATTAGGTATGGGACAAAAATTGTAGAGAATTATATTATAAACAAGTTTTATTTGAATAATTTTTATAAAAAATTATTTTTTTTTACATTTTGTTAAATTTCTCGATTACGGACCATTTTAGGAAAATTTTGTATAAAACAAAATATATCAATAATAATATTGTAAGTAAATTTTTTCTCCAAACGTAAATAACAGATATATTTCATAAAATATAAAAATGACCACCCATAAAGTACACCCCAGATGTTCCGACTGTGCCCAAAATATAATCAGTTCATTGGACGCCAGAATAAAGGTTAAGTTTAACATTTGCTGTTTTTCTTTGTATCGGTTCATGAGTTATGGTGGATACACACACACACACACACACACACACACACACACACACACACACACACACACACACACACACACACACACACACACACACACACACACACACACACACACACACACACACACACACACACACACACACACACACACACACACACACACACACACACACACACACACACACACACACACACACACACACACACACACACACACACACACACACACACACACACACACACACACACACACACACACACACACACACACACACACACACACACACACACACACACACACACACACACACACACACACACACACACACACACACACACACACACACACACACACACACACACACACACACACACACACACACACACACACACACACACACACACACACACACACACACACACACACACACACACACACACACACACACACACACACACACACACACACACACACACACACACACACACACACACACACACACACACACACACACACACACACACACACACACACACACACACACACACACACACACACACACACACACACACACACACACACACACACACACACACACACACACACACACACACACACACACACACACACACACACACACACACACACACACACACACACACACACACACACACACACACACACACACACACACACACACACACACACACACACACACACACACACACACACACACACACACACACACACACACACACACACACACACACACACACACACACACACACACACACACACACACACACACACACACACACACACACACACACACACACACACACACACACACACACACACACACACACACACACACACAAACACATCAATTCGTCGAAACCTGGAGGTCAAAAAAAATCATGATTCCTATACTTTCCTTATTTGTATACAGATATATATATATATATATATATATATATATATATATATATATATATATATATATATATATATATATATATATATATATATATATATATATATATATATATACACACACATATACACACATATACACACATATAAGGCTCGAATTAGACCGTTAAGGTCTATGGCCTGGTTAGTTTCTTCCATTCGTCCCTATTCTTGGCTTTTTGTTTCCAGTTGATGATCTTTTTTTCCTTAATATTTTCTATAATCGCTTCCCTCCATTTTCTTCTAGGCCTTCCTCTCTTTTTTTTCCTTCTGGTGTTGTCCAAGCTACTCTTTTTACTGTTCTCCATCCTTTCTAAGTGCCCCAACCATTGTAACCTTTTTGACTGAATTATTTCGTATATGTTGGGTTCGTTAAATATTTCGTAAATTTCTTTGTTTGTTCGTCTTTGCCATCCTTCTTCTGTCTTTTTGCCTCCATATATTCTTCTTAGTATCTTCCGTTCCCATATTTCAATTTTGGTTTGTTCTTTCTTATTTAGTGTCCATGTCTCACTACCGTATAGCATTGTAGGTCTAAATATTGTTTTGTACACACATTTCTTTAATTCCCATGACATTTCTTTAGATTTAAGTTAATTATGTAATGCTCCTGCGCATCTATTGCTCTTTGCTAGAGACGGAGATCTATTTCAGCTTGTTCTTCGCATCTATTTGTAATGAGAACACCGAGGTACATGTAACTGTCTGTCTCGTCTATTGTTATTTTTCCTATGGTTTTAGTTTGTAATTCTAGTTTTCCAGGATTTTTTCTTAAATGTTTGTTTTTCAGTTGCATGTACTGACTCCTTTTTTCATTTATTTTAAGCCCCATTGTTCCTGCCGCGTCTAAAAACTGTTCTGTTATGTTTTTAAGTTCTTTTTGGCTTCTCGCTAACAGTACAACATCATCGGCGTATGCTAATGCTTGGTGGGATCTGTTGATCAGGGTTCCATATCTGTTTATTTTACTGTTTCTGATGACTATTTCAAGGGTTAAGTTAAAAAGAAGGGTGGATAATGGGTCTCTCTGCCTAAGCCCGTTTTGGACTTCAAATTCTTCAGTTTCCTCACCTCCTACTCTTATTGCACACCTTGTATTTTCCAGGGTCATGTTCGTCAGTTTTACAAGGTATTTTTAGTTCTTTCAATGCATTTACCAATTTTCGTCGATTTACTGTATACAGATAGGAAAGTAAAAAGTATGATTTTTCCAACACATGTCTTACAAATCTAGTTATTATAGGCTATTTCCGGTTATTTTGTACAATCTATTGTATCACCACTGTCAATTTTTAGGGGATGAAGTAAATATAAACAATTTTTCTACACCCACATGGATATTAGCTAATCTACGCATAGTCTACCAAACCAAAAAGTATGTTATTGTGTTTAGCTGAACGAAAATATTTTATATCCATTCTAGGTAGCGATAACACTCCAAAAAAATGAAATCCACCAATAACAGTTCATATTTTGGACACCCATCTACCATTATTTCTAAAATTTTAAATTAGTGACAATTCTGTTAAACTAATTGTTAGTACCTATGATACACGAGCTAGGAGGTGCCTATCATTTCAGGAGGATGCACAATGGGCCTAATGAGGCCTAAGCGCCGTGGGGGTAACCCACTTTCCTCACATTACAGATACATATAGCGCCTATGTTATTTAGTTATTGAGATTAAATATACATTAAAATGAGATATTTTTGTGTAGAATCAATAAATAATAACATTTTCATTTTTATTTAGTCCACACATAAAAAAAATTAATAAAACTATATAAAACTAATTTAATTACGAGTATTAAAACGAAAATCTAAAAAGTAACTGTGGATATAAGGACAGAGTATTTGCCTTCCACGCGAAAAGCCCGAAATCGAATCTAAGCTGGGAAATAATTAAATTAATTCTTTTTTGTCTTAATAACCTAAAATAATTTTTTATATTTGTAGATTTTTGTTAATGGATTGTAGAAAAAATATACTGTCCAACTCGAATGGATTGTTCATATCGTATTTAGACGATTAGACGATTTATAACATCAATATATTGAGTGTAGTTTTTTAAATATATACTCAGTGACTTGTTTTTATAGGTGAATTCAAGTATGGCCGATGAAAATTGTTATTTTTTGCTATGAATTAATTAATTTTTTTTAAAAATGTAAACTGTATATGTTTTTGGTAATTTTTCAAGTTATAATTAAAATATCAAAGTTCTGTATATTGGCCATTCACTCCACACAGCCAATTCATAGACACAATGAATAAAAAGATATCACCATTTGACATTTTTATTGAACTCACTAATTTAAAATTGACTTTAAACCAAGTGACTAAGCTACATAGTTGTTTAAAAGCAGCCATAAGATATATTAAAAAAAATAATGTTAATACGGATTATTACAACTTAAAATATGTATATTTAGAATAATATCAGTTTGTAACATTTATAACAAAATTATTACCTAGTGTTAAAAAGATGGATAAAATGTGTTGACTATTATTTACAACTTAGAAGCTATTGAAAAAATTAAGACCAATAGAACATATTCCCACATTTCTATAGGTACATACATATTTGTTGATACCTGATTATCAATAAAGAATATGTTTTGTTTTTTTATGTGGAGATAGATTAATTAATATACAACTATTATTAGTAACAAATAATTTATATTATTATATTTTTTA